TAATTTGGTACTAAAAACTGGTAAATATCGATTTTCTTTCAACTTGAATTGTAAGATAACTTGAGCACAAAGTCAAGAAAACATGTGGCCTTCAAAAATATTGCCCCATTTGGCCTATATAACCTAGTTATTTTGACAATTTGGGGGTGTATGTCACGCCAAACAGCTAAAGATTTACGATGTTTCAGGCGGATGTTAATAATTCGATAAAAAGGGATCTGTACCACGGACTAATACTAAATTTCATATAAAAACATTTGTCAAAGGGACACCCAAAAGTGTTTCAGATTTATAAAGAAGAATATCTTAAGAAATGATGAGCTAGTATAAATTTGGTTAATAGGTCATTTTATAAATAATATTTGAGGTTGTTTAAAAATCTTAACTATTATACTCCCTCTTCCCTGCTATCAAGTCGACATAAACAACATTTATAATTGTAAACATTACATAAACATAACAACTATTGCACCTCGTGAGGAAAGCTACTCCAAAGATTACACCGTTGTAATGGAGCCAACGTCGACAATCTGTTAATGCCAAATTTAGATCCGGAGCAAGGATAAAATGCGCATTTTAAATTTTATTTTTACAGCTGTTAATATAAACCGAGGTCTATTAATGAGTTTCGGCTCCCGCCACAATTAGAACAAGCGACAAAGCTCCAAAATATTTCGTTTCTAGGTCGAGCTAATTGCTATCGGGTTAGTTTAGCCAATAGATTCGGTTAAAATAAAATAAAATAACAAGTTGACATTTCAACAAGACGTCCTATTACAATATTAATAATTTTCAAATAGAAATTTTAAATAATGTATATAGGTATGTATGTGTTATTCTGCTTTACTTATTTTTAAGTTTATTTTATGGTTATTTATTTTATTTACTTTTTGATTATTGTTTAATTGTTATAATTTAATTTCAATTGTCAGGCACATTTTGACTGAATGTTATGCCTATGAAGCACAGCGAAATAAAGTAAAATTGGAGAATAATATTACTGAAATTTTAAAAAATAAAATTGTTTTTATTTCTTCAAATAACGCAACTATATAAAACAAAAATTAATTTTTATTCACAATTTTTTGGAAGTTTTAAATATTTTTTACTTTCAAATTTGTTTTTAGTTTTCATCCAATGTAATATAAATACTCTGTAGGGTATAAAATGATCCATAAGAGGTTGAAGAGCCCTCACATTGTTATAAATAAATATATTGTTATGTTGCTTCTGTTTTATTTTATTTATTTATATTTTCTCTATATATGGTGCGAATGTTCTCTTTTCTCACAATAATCAATGTCCATAATGTGACAGAATTTTATATTACTCAATAAATAAGTAATATATATACATATATATCTTGTTCAATGATTGATTTTATCTTTACATGAGAATTAGTCATTTCAAAATTTTACATGCATAGTACTTGTTTCCTAGCAATGGAATAATTTCGTTATAATTTCTTAGGCAAAATAAAGTTTAAGTTTAAGAATATCGTGGAGATTCTCAAACCATCAAGACATGAATATCATCACAAAAAAATTAATTAGCTATAACAGTGAATATATTAGTAGATTTAAATGTTAAATTAGCTATGATATAGGGAAAATAAATTATTAATATGAATTTTTAAGTTGAATGGAGATCTTCAGTTATGGAACATGTTTGTATCATTTAGTCAGTTTTTTTTTCTTTAATTATGTAAGAAGCTATATTGAAAAACTGTTGGTATAATAAAAAGTCGATGTTAAAATTTAACTATGGAAAACGATATTTTCTTCAATAAAAAAATAAATAATAATAAAAAAAAGTAAATAAAAATATATACAAAGAAACCAGCTTCACTTGTTACACACGAAAATGAGACTATTTTTAATAAAAAAAAAAAACCTGAGAAATATTGTTTGTTTTTATTTTTATTATAATAAAAATGTAATAATTAGTACTTTTTTTTATAAATTTCAGACATTAATTTAATTCATTCTTCTATCTTTAACAATAATTATTTTAAATAATAATTTTTATTAATTACACAAATTTTTAGTAAAACTGTCAATATTGATTTCCTCCAAACCTTTTTAATTTTATTAGTTTTGATAAAGCTTGTTCAAAATAATTTGATATTAGTAAACAGATATTTTTTTATAGGCATTATATAAATATTTAATTGTTGATATCAATGCTACTGCAAATCTATGGCTTCAATTCAATAGACTTGTACTCCTTTCAAAGATTAAAAACGTCGATAAATTTTATTGATATTTCGATATGATTGATAACAACCTATTCTGTATTTAAAGCAATTACTGTTCAATATTTACTTCCACACTAATTTCAAAGATTAAAAAATTCGAGTCACAACATACCGATGTATTTTTAAATATAAATATGACATATATATCAAATACAGGAGAGGACTTAAAACACTATCATGTAATACACCTTCATGTTGAGGAAATACAGTAATAATGACAACCAAGAAATATTTAAGATTTAGGCATCAAGTAAAAGGTTTTTTTTTTTTTTTTTATTTATTCATGATATTTACAACTGTATTAAAAAATTAAATACATTAAGTAAATTTGATAACAGAAAATAATAACATGAAATGACTTGTTGAGAAACTACCCACAGGTAGCACTCTAATAGTAAAAGGTAAACGCAGATTTATTTTCCTTGTGCCAGACACTATCGAATGCTTTTTCAATGTCAAGGAAAACCACAACACAGACAGTATTCCTTTTCCTTAAAAGTGACAAATCAGATTTCACTCACAATACGACGCTGCTGTTGTACAGTAATGTTTATATTATTGTTTATGTTTTTTTTTTTAAATCGGTACAATTTAATTAAATGAAGTATATTGCAGAGTTTTTACTATAAAATATTTTGTCTATGCGTCGATGAAGTGATCAGAATCAAAAACATGCAGACATAATAACAAATGATTTATTTCCGAATAATCTAGAATCCTTGAAATTTTAATAAAGATTTTCTATTTTCGTAAATAGACAGTTTGGAAGAAAAAATTAATAGAAACTTATTCGGTTGAATTTCACATCTATTACAACTTCTAAAATATCAACCTAAATAATCTGTCTGTAAAGAAAATGTCAAAAGAAGTATTTTATATATATACAATTTTAACTATTCTTCTCTACAATTTTTATATTATTAAATTGAAGAAAAGAATAGTTAGGTGATCAATAAATAAATAATTATATTTATTTATTTTTTACTCTTTTTTTTGGACTATCACTCCAACCATTCTTCTCTTTAATTATTCATTACGGTCGACCATCAATTCACATTTATATTATTTAATGTTTGTATTTTTCTTAAGGAAGAGTTTTATGTATTTTAGGTATAAGGTATCGAAACTTTTATCTTCTGTGTATTCTTTTTATTCTAAATAATTTTTATATATCTAGTACATCTGTCTAACGTTCCGGACTCTCTATCCGATTAACCATAAATTGACTAAGGTGGTATATAATTGGCAGAAGATAAAATAAAAATTAATTGTAAATACATGTTAAACAAATATGTATAAATATAGAAAGAATTGTAATGAATATTATTAATGTATAAAGTTCTAACAGTGAAAAAGGAGGTGTTTCTGATGATGGAGTCCGAAACTTTAGACAGATGTATCTATTTTATCTTATTAGATAAATAAGAATTATTCAGAATAAATTGAATACACGAAAGAAAAAAGTTCCCATATCTTATACATAACATTTTAAAATTATATATAAAATACATTGTATTTAAAACCATACTATAATTGTACCATATCACTTATGGTGTCTTTAGATTTCCACAATTAATTATTCTAATGAGTTGTACTATTTCAATATCAACAAATAATTTATTTATCATTTATGGTATCCTGTAACAATTAACTTATATTGTCTATATCTTTTTAGCCCTGAAGAAGACCTACAACGTAGATCGAAACGTTGGATAATTCAATAAAAATACTATTATATAACATAGTATTTTATATATTGACTGCAGTCGCGACTAACTTCTTCTGAGATTAGAATCTACGGTCAACCATCTCTACACCATTCTGTAAAGAAAATTGTACTTTCTACTTTCAATTTATAGAATTTTCGCATAATTAATTGCCAATAAGTTGTTAGACAAAAAATTAAATTCATTTTATACCCCACAACTTAAAAGAAGAGAAGTCGTATAATTACTGGTAAAGAAAACAAAAAATGTATTTTTATTTTAATAATGTACAGGTAATAGTGTCTTAAAAAAATCTTTATTGCTTATTGATATTTTATTTTTCATGACATATCTCCTTTTCCTTTTTTCGATAGAACATAAGGGTTCGCTGAAATTAAGAATATCGACCCGCCGATACACACTTAACCCGGCCAAATAATATAAAAACTCAGTTAGACAGATGGATTTGACGTAACTTGAAGGAAATACTCTGGAAAAAAAAAGAAAAGAAACAAGTAGATTTGAAATTACTAACATGGGGAGGTTATAGAAGTGAAGTCACTTATTTCAATGAATCTTTTATTGGGTGATACTAGGTCGAAAAATATTTGTTGTCGAAGGTTTTGCCGATGCGTCCTAGAAGACGAGAAAACAAACATTTTATAAAATTTTATTATTTTTTTTAAATTAATGTTTTCTGAATTTGCTCTGTTGGATTTCTAAGTAAAACAAATCGATTGATACACAATAACTTAGAAATCTATTCAGAGCAATGCCAGAACACATTAATTTAATAAAATTATATTTAAAAAAAAAAATTGTCGTCCCCCAGCGAAAAATTGGCAAGAACCTTCTGTCAAGGGTTAAATATTTGTCGACCTAGTATCACCCCAACAAGTTACTTGAGTTGCTAATTAAACAGTTAAATTATTAAATAACAACTATATAAAATGCTATAATAAAAAATAAACAAATATTAATTTTAAAAAATCAATTATTATTTCTTAGGAGTAATATTTGAATTTTATAAAGGATACAATAGGGAGGGCTCTGTTCCTGAAGTCGACTACTGTGTAACTAGACAGAGGATCCAAGAAGTTGAGGCAGTAGTGAGGAACGCCATCAGCTTCTTCTTCGGTAACTTTGTTAGTGACGATGTCCAAGCCGCGATAGACCTGCAACAGTGAGAAACAATAATATTAGCAATTAGAATATGTAAGATAATTTATTATCATTTGTCAATATTAAGTAAATAACAGTTATTTTATTTTTAAAAGCTATTAAAATTAAACCTGTAGCACTAGGACATATGAATGGTCGAGTATTGAGGAATATTCTCAGGAAGATAAGAGATACAACGAATAGATTTGGATGATTGAGAGTAGAAGAGTGAAATTTTGTGTACTTCTGTGTATGTAAGATTTTACTTTTGGTATGTTCATGTCTATGTGTATGGTGTGCTTTGAAATAAACCAAGGAGCATTGACAATTTTACAAAGGACTGTGGATTGTGTGGTTTGAATTTTGTTTATGTGTGTATGTTTTGCGGAATCCTAAAGTTTTGCTTCCTATGTCCAAATAGGTCTTAGTATGGTGGCGTAGATTAGTAGCTCGTTTAGTAAGTTGAGTGGAAATCTGTAGACAAAAGTTGTGACAGTTGTTTGTATCGTCTGGTCAGTTCTTGTTTTTTTAATTTAGTGAATAAAATTCCAGGTGAATTTTTTGTCCAAGTATAATCCGAGATACCGTATATGTGTTTTTGAGGAAACTGGCTTATTGTCTATTGTCACAGTAGGACACGAGATCTTCCTCAGGGAGAAGCTAACATGAGTTGACTTGCTGGCATTAATTTTAATTTTCCATTTGTGAAACCATTTTTCAAGGTCGTGGAGGTGAATTTGAAGGACTATTGAAGCGATTTTGGGATTTCTGTGAGAAGAAAGGATTGCCGTATCGTCAGCAAAGCTATAGAGAATGTCGCTAGGATGCTCAGGGATGTGTAGAGAGAAAAGAGAAGAGGGCTTAAAACACTACCTCGTGGTAGGCCCGCAAGTTGAGGAAAGAAGGGAAAATAGAGGAATCAATAGTAATACAGAAATACCTGCCAAGAAAGAAAGATTGAAGTATCGAGTATTGAAGTATTGAAGTATTTAGGTTTTTGTAACTTAAATACATAATAATGAAAATTGGCTAAGACGTATATGAGAAAATCTGGGGAGGCAGAAGGCATACGGACAGAAGGGACAGATCTGTCCGTATGCCTTCTGCCTAAATATCAATTTTAGATTCTACATAAAACTTCAAACTTTAAGAAGGGATAAAGTTTTTTCCTTTGTCGATGTTCATAATTAAAACAAATTATTCACAAATTAAAAGTACAATTTTTTTAACTATGAGAATAGTAGATATTTTAAGGAATTAAAATCGTCCATCTGCGACAGTTTCGAAATTGAAAATAAAGAATTAATTACATATCGGTAAGGTTTACATAATATCTATAACGTTGTGTACAATATAATTAGCAAATATATCAATGAATAACTAGAACGGCAGATACATAATTCATTTTCTGCACTAAATGCACCGTGACAGCTTCTTATGCAGTCAGCTGGTTGCATAACCCCATCAGTGACAAATTATCAATCACTCTTCCGAGAAAAACCACTCCGGGACGAAGACTTCCGCTAAAAATAAGGCGCCGATAACAATTTGAACTGAAGCTGACTCAACCTGAAGGTGGAGTGCATCGTTGGTGAATGTGTCAGCTTGTCAAGTCATCATGCACCTAGCTGCAATAGCTGCATATAGTCAAGCTGTGAATTATCAAGATATTCACCAAGCAATATTCAGCTAAATATTTTAGGAGACTTTTATAATATATTAATTATATAACAATAAGCTATAACTGAAATATGTATTTCAATAATTAGCTATGATGCTAAACATTTTTTACTCGAGGAGCTACATAGAATCTTCTATAATGCTCCAAAATTAATAGGATCATCAATTTCATTATATGTTATTGGGCTTGGACGGTGGACGCTGGGTGAAAATATATAGACAGCCGTTAGAGGTATCGGTATTGAACCTTTGGGTTTGTAGAGTTTTAGAGTTTAGAGTTGTTTTTTTTTAAAGTTTAGGGTTTACTAACCAAAAATTACGATTTGGTCCGCCTAGATGGCAAAATCTATCGGTCGGTGCCATAATTTAAAGTAAATAATTTTTACATCGTTACATTTTTTTTTTTTTAACAATTTCAATATAATACAGTTCTAACATAGTATAATTATACAACATAGTATAATGATATAATAAATTATAGCATAATGATAAACTAATCTATATAAATAAAATAAAGGTTTTGTCTGTGCATTGAATAGAATAGATCATAACATAATGATAATAAAATGGGTTGAATAGAATCAACCCGTTTTATGATGTCTTTTCATTTCATAGATTGCAGACACCAAATCCACTTTTAAAAAATTGTTTGTCTGTCTGAATGTCCGCATTGTCCAACGAAATTTCGTTAAGGGTAACTTCGGCAATGGCTAATGTAGACTTATGAAATTTTTACATTGCATTTAGGTAATGATCTAGCAATTTTGAAGTTTTCATCTGTACACTGTTTTTCCTTATGGACATCCATCAACCCGCATCTTAGTTAAGCCTTATTATAATTATTTTGTTATTGACTTTTAATATCCAATTCACATAATTGCAATTTTTAATAGCTTGTCGTATGTTACTTTCTTTAACCAAAAACAACAACCGAGATAATCTTGCAGATGAATATTCATACCTCATTATCGCTTTCATGAGTTTGTAAATGAGTACCAGTTAGTTGACACCCTCTAACAGCTGATCAATAGCGATGAAATCGATAATTACTGCATCGATTATAACAACTGATCGGGCAGCTTGTTATGACAAAAAAAGTATTACTCAATAATAACAGGAGTCTTACGCGAAGGAGTTTGATCGAACTAGGGCAACCACAATGACACCTATATCGTGTTCAAGATGTTCTACATACCGACAGTCATACGATTTTTTTTCAATTTAAATACCCAATTACATAAACTACATTTTTTATAATTATACTTAAGCTTTACTTTGGGAGCAGAATAGCTCAGTGGGTACAATGTTCAGTGGGACATGGGTCAGTAAGTGGGACAATGTTCAAGGTCCTGGGTTTGAATCCAGCTAATGGCAATTATTTATTCTGTTACATTAGTCGAGGATTATCTGGGTTCGGGAAAACCTTCTGGGGCAAACTCAGCCTCAACAAAGTGGGTATTCATAATTAAATAAGGAGGAACGCTAACCTGAACGCTAAGCGTGATCTCGTTCCGAGCACAACACCGTTGGTCTTGAAGCAACTACTGAACCCAAGACCCTTCATGGGTTGTATTAGTACAGATTTCTACTTTCGTTTGAATAACTTTTAAGAAGAGAAGGTCAATAAAATTTCTTGGGAGAGGAGGAAGAATCATGCGCCATTGGAGTGATGATCACTTATATCATCTGAGTTTCGTCTTAAGAAACCCGAGTAGTAAAATATCAATAGTTTTAAAGAAAAACAGTATAATTCACCAACATTTGAGTCTGGTCGTCATTCTTTTATAAAACTATATTAAAAGATGGGGCCCAATATTTGGAAGGCTCCCTTACAAAATGGTTAGACCTATACCAAGGTTCTTCAAGGGCAGTACCCAAGCAACCTCCATCGAACTGTAAACATCAACATCAACAAAGAGGGCCTATTGGATTGGAGCCAGGATGATGAACCCGTCCCGGACCTATCGCTAGCTGCCTTTTTGACTCGGCCAGTCCCAAAACACCCCGGCATAAATATTTTTCTTCTCCTCGCCCGCCGATTTCTTCTAACCTTTGAGAGGATTGAGAATTGAGAAGGAAGGGGTATATATAGGAATAGAGCAGCCGCTAGAACAGACGTCTCGTCTGACAGCAACTCTTTTATCTTCTCACGTTTCTTGTATTTTCAAAAGGTTCACTATTTATAGTTGGACATATCAACACGGCTCTGTCGAGAAGCTGCTGATGTATATTTATTTTTTTTTTAAATGCAGTACAATCTTGCTTATCCGTGTACATGATTAATCTAGAATTTCCCTTTTATTTATTATATTTTTAACTTTTTTATTTTATTTCTTTTATTTAATTTCTAAGTAAATAAATAGATAAATAGTTTTTTAAACTAACTTTTGGTAGTCTGAACATGCCATGCAATCTAGGTGTTGGAATTATTGAAATCGTGGTTTTAATTGCTCGGTTTAATTTGTTAGGTATATATTTTGAGATTCCAAAGAAGAAATATATTATATTTAAAACTAGCTCATATTTGTTTTGTTTTTTCATTTCTAACAAAAAAGGTATTGTTTTTTTAATTAAAGTACTTTGACTTAGTTTAATTATTAACTGCTAATTATGAATGAATGAAAATAATTGTATTATTCTGTGACTAGTGTCCCTTTAAAAAAAATTATAAATACAATGTATAATTTTTTTTTTGGTATTAATCTTTTTATTGAGGTATAATACATTTTACCACACTTAAGGATACTGAGTATTAAAGCTGTAAGGCACATTCATAGCATATTTACAATATAATGAAATAAAAAAAAAGAAATACATAAAAAAAGATACATAAAAGATAATTATGTATATATAACAAAAATAAAAACTTTAATAAAAACAAATAAATATAGCCAACAAAGAAATATAGCTTATAAATTAACATTTTAGTATGTCCATAAAATAAAATTAAATATTTACTAGATGAGCGGCAATAAAATAAAAGTACAGAAAATGATATAAAAACACGAGATGAAAATATATAAAAACGTACATAAATATAAAATAAACTGAGAATAGTAAAATAAATAAGAAAAATATCAATAAATCACAAAAGTATCTGGAGGGTACTGGAGTCCTACGACTTAGATTTTTAAGTGTATTTCATGATCAACCGGATTGGGAATGGAATAGGTGCTTGAAGAGAGATTTAAAAGAGGATACTTAATTCGGATGTCTAATAATCCAGAGGAACACGACTTGAGTTAAAAAGGATTTGTCAAACGCACCAGTTAGGTGAGGATGATAGAGGTCAGACGTGCCGGATCTGGTGGGACGGGATGGAATGGAGGACATG